CTTAAGCCCACTAGGTATGTCATGCATTGCTTTCCTTTGTCTCTTTTTCCCTCTATTCGACCTGTGAGTATCAGATTCTCCAGGCCTTCCTTTTCTGCCCCAGAAATTTCAGCTGCTTCTTCCTGATGTTTAGTATAAGCTTCCTCCTTGTTTACATCCTCTCCAAGACCTCATCGTTTCTCAAACGCTCGGTCCATTAACATTCTTCTGTAGAACCGTATCTCCGTTGCCTCGAGTCTCTTCTTCATCATTCAGGAGACCGTCCAACATTCGCTGCAGTGAAAGAGGACGGATGTCACGTGATAGCTCAGTACTCTTTACATTGTTACCCAAGAAAGACTTTGCCCAACCTTTTAATGCGTCTTTGGTCATCCCAATACGCCTTCGGATATTAGCGTCGCACTTACCGTCCTCCGTCGAAACACTTCCCAGATACTAACATCAAGCACCTGCTTGATGTTAGTATCCCCGACCCGCAAATCGCATTTTAGGCTCATCCTTTTTACTGATGACTATGCATGCTAGCTTCATGTAGTTTATACCTAGTCTCTTCGTCTCGTTCTCCTTCGCCATATTCTCTACGAGCTTTTGTAATTACTTTTCCGTCTCTGTTATCAGTTTGCGTCATCTGCGTAACTTATGTTAAGATTTTTACCTATCTTTATTTCTGTTCATTTTTTTGATTTTTCCTTGTCGGTCCTCTTCATTCTAGTTATTCGTCTTAAAAACTTCGACGTGGTGTAATGGTTAACAAGCTTAACTCGCTGGATCAATTACGACTGAGTAGTGACTTCGATTCTCCTGTGTGTTGTACACTTTCGGCCTAATCACAGATCTAATCATTTAGGTATTTCGACGTGGCTCAGTGGTTAGCAAGCTTATCGCCCTACATCAAGTACAACTGAATATTGACTTCAATCTCCACTAGGTGCCCCAAACTTGCGGCCTTGTGTCACAGCTAAGCTATGCTTTGAAAATCCCCATTTCAGCATTGAATATCTTCATTCCATCTATTTCCGATATTCTTCTTTACTCATTTTTTTCAGTTTGTTTATATCTATTTTTTCGTTTTTCTCGTTTTTTTATTATCTGTCTTTTCACCTAAATAAATCAACGGCAAAATATGTCTGTCTGTCTGTCTGTGTGTCTGTCTGTCTGAAACCCCTCTAACTCGGGCTACACTTGCTCTTCATAAACATATTATACCTTTTTGGATTCGGGAAGATCCCGGAAGTGAAAATCTGTCCTCCATCTGGTGCTTGAACATCGAGCATTGAGATTTGAGTCCAGATTATGAAGGAATCGTTAAAAATTCAGATTTTTAAATAACAGAAAAAGTTTTTAATTTATATTGATTCGTTTGATTTTTTTTAATTTAATAATTTTTGTATTAAATTCAATTAAAAATATCTACAAAACTTTGTGAATTAAGCAAATCAATTTTATTTCTTCAAAATGGCAAGAAATCAGAAATAAAATGAGTGGTATATGACGTGATGTGAGATTTTGAAGTTTCATAGAGTTTATGATTTGAAGAACATAACTCAATTGACAGCACAGAGAGTGTGTGATTTGAAGAAGTCATTTTTCGTCCTGATTTGGAATTTCAACCAAAATTGTTTTTTCGACCCAAATCGATCTTTCGGTTTCTTATGGTCCGGTTCCTTGTACCACGGTGATAGTCCAAGGTAGAACCAATAAAGAAGAACTCGAACACGGAGATGGAATAACACAGATATATTACAAACAGGAATATATACAGAGAAGTAGAAATGTTAGTATGAACAATCAGGTTTAGTAGAGAGAACAATGTAGTCTCGACTAGTATCACTATTCCAATGTCTTGCAGTAATTGTCTGAACGCAACTGTTTCGGACTGCCTCTGACTCGACTCTTGACTCGACTTGAACTACTGCCTGAACTGACTCCTTGCCTATTCCTGAGACGCAGTATTTATTAAGTATGGAATAGTCCATTATTATTATTATTATTATTATTATTATTATTATGGGTAAGATCCCATAACACGGTTCAAATCGAACTTTCGGTCCAAATCAAGCCTTCGGCCCCATTTGACCTCTCCGCTCAAATTGGTCTTTTGACTGGAATTGGGCTCGGAGCCAGAAACAGAGTTAAAGTGAGGTGTTGTAGCTCCATGGGGTGAATTGAGCAATGCAAAGATATTTTTTCTATATTATTGTTTTTTTTTTTGGTTTTGCTGAACCAGAGATCCCTTTTAATCCTCTGTGGGAACTAGCTTAAAAGTCGGGTGTTCAGCTTTTAAGCTAACCTTTAATGTAAGACATTTTTCTTCGCTATTATTTTACCAGTCATTTTTCTTTAACGTCATCTGTATTTCTATGTAGCTTTCGTTTTTCCCTTATTTTGCTTCTTTTTAATATCATCTTCTCTCTCTCCTATTTTCATCTACTTTTTCTTCTCATTATCCTTTTCTGCTCACTTTATTCATTTTCTTGAGTTTCTTCGTTTCTTGTTCTTTTTCTGTTTATCATTTCGACTTTTCATATATTGATAACAAATTCATTCATTCTTTCATAGCATTCATGTTTGATGTCGCTTTATTAATTCACCATTAAACTAACCACAGCGTTCACCGTCTGAACTGTAACTATATGAACCCCAGAAGAAAAGCAGTAACCTTATTAGATCTTCTGAAGAAAGAATCATTATTGAAAGAGATAAACAAACTGAATGCAGAGAAGGAAACCGTATCGTTTGATATCTCAATATAGATTTTATTTTTTAGGACATTTTGAAATTAAAATCGAAACCCGATAATTTACGAACAAATCGAAGACGGGAAGATTTGACATTGAAAAATTCAAAACGAAGGAAAACGAAAAATCATATAGAAAAAAGGCAGATGAAAGAAAAATCAAATAAGTATATATATATATATATATATATATATATATATATATATATATAGGAATGTATATGTATATCTGCATATATACATACATGAAAGCATAATTTTGCTAGATATCTGCTGCATTTATTATATATATATATATGTATATATATATATATATATATATATATATATATACATACTATTCTTGCAATATTTTAAAATATATAACGGGTGTAACAGCATAATTTTCCATCCCCAAATGCTTAATGTTTATAACACTACTAAACTGATTAAGATTCTTTATTCCAAATATGAAGATTAACCATCTTTACAGCGTCTTTCGTGAGAATCATCGAAAATTATTTTGAATTATTTAGCTAGAAAGTGAACAGTTTAAAATCGTTTTGTGTCAGACACACTGTCTTCCCAAATGAGCAATGGTGAGAGGAAAAATCATTCAGACATTCAGTAATAGTACCAACATTCATACACCGTCTTCCCTCTTCAAAGTCCTTTCAAGAACCATCAAGAAAACGGTGAATAGATTTCAAAAAGAGAAAACGGTAAAGAGAAAAACTGGATCAGGAGGTTACAACAGGAAGAGGGATCATTATTTCAAGAGCTGAAAAGATCAATTAGAAAAGATCCAACTCAATCCATAAACCGTTTGGAGCGTGAGAGAGGAGTTTCAGTTATGGCTGTGCGAAGCGCAGTGAAAAAAGTCTTGAAAATGAATTCGTGCGCGAAACGTTTGAGGCTAATTGTTACCCCAGGACAGAAAGGTAGAAGATTAAAGAGGGCAAAGATCATCCTGAATAAGTTGAACATGTTCCATATATATATATATATATATATATATATATGAAATTATTTAGTTTCTTCATGTGCTTCCAATTCTTAGCTATGAATAATTAATGATCAACATGTCATTTTCGTTTATGATCGGTTTTATCACGATTCTACTGTTATTGAAAGTAATTATACATTCTTATTGCTCAAAGTAGAATTCAATAGTGTTATCAAAACCTCGGAGACTTCCAGTAAGATATCTTTAATCATTTCTGGGTTACAAAGTTTCAAATCTTAATCTAACAAATGGACAATTTTCCTTTTACACGATTTGGACAATTTTGCATGTACACCCGGTATATTACCAACATATTTATTTATACTTATATATTTACAGTATACAGAATTATTTATACAGTCTCATCCATAATTATTGAAACAGCAAGTCCAATTCCGTTTAGTTTTAAGGTCAAAAGCGGAATATGAGAGAAGAGTATTTCAGCTTTTATTTCATGCTATGTACATGTAGATCTGTTAAACAACTTAGGACATACAACTTTTTGTTTGAACCCACCCTCTTTTTTAAGCGAGGAAAACTGCTGAACCACGTGTCTGACGGAAGGTTCTTGTTACCGAGGTGTTGCCTTTTAGATTGATTGTTTCAACTTTAAACAGCTCTGTATGCCTTTTCTTGCTTTTAATTGTGGGTTTCACCTGTAAATACTGTATTTCATGCTAAAAAGGTTGAACCAACATGAAGACGAGAGAGTTTTTGGGGGGAGACATTCAAGCCATTATGGGGCTAAGAAAAAGAGGAAAACCGATCAAAAAGATTTGTCATAATCACCACAACAATTTAGAATGCCCCGAAAAAGAAAAAAAAACTATTGCTGTACTGAACAACATATTTTCTAAGTCAATATTTTAAAAGACACCTTCACTGAGAGAGTTATTGCTAATCCTATATTCTACAGAAGAGGGTATGTGTTTGATTACGGATGGAATGTGTTTATAAATCGGGTGGATATATATTGGATTGGCATCTGTATTCATGTACAGTTGGAATACATTAGTAGCAATAATGTAGCAACAACGATATTTACTTTTTTAAATTAGTGTTGATCTTAACTTTAAGTTTAAGACATTTGACTTCTTTATATATTTCTTCTTATTATATTTTCTTGACTTTGTCAGCTTTAATTTCTGTAGAATTTTTCACTAATGTGAGGCCATCATCTCTATATAAGCCTATATTATCAATATTAAAAGCACTATTTATACTATAGAAAATCCTAGAGTTAAAAGATATTATACTGGGAGTACCCCAATAATTCTT